GATTCTGTTTTTTCTTTGACTTTTGCTTTAATTAATATTTTTTTAACTATTAGAGGACGTTTAATTTATGTATTCAGAATCATGATTCACAACCATTCTCGTTTTATGTGTATTTTTTATGAGAAAAAACACTATAGAGAATCTTGAATCATAATTCAGAATCAAAGATGAATATAGAAAACAAACGTCTCCTTAGATTCTCTTCTTCTTCTAACTTTAACTTTAATCGATCTTGATGAAATGTTTGAGGTTAAAAACCGTTATTCCTCCTACAAATTAAATCTCCTTACTTTGACTATGATTTTTTTACATATATATAGTTTGGGAGATTTTTATACGTCTCACGTACGATAAATCATGTTTTTTTAATAATTAAATTTACATATTTTTTAATTTTTACGTAATTTTATACAAATCTAACGAATAAAAAACATACCCTACCAATATATTAATATACAAATTCCATATAATTTATGGTTAAAAAATAGAAAAAGAATTAACATATATTCGTCACTGTGGCAAGTACCAACAAACTGTTGAATCTTCATCCTTTTATCTCCATCAAAACCTTGAAAGAAAAAGAAAGAAAAAAGAGAAATCCGAGTCCCCATGCTTCTTATTCTTTCGCATTTACGTGACTGAGAGGGTAAAAGATGTGAGACAGACGAGAGAGTCAGAGTGAATCAGAATCGTTAAGTCACATTACTCACACTGCAGCTTCCTTCTGTACTTTCCCTCCAATACCCTTCTCTCAAATCACTCGCAAACTTAACACATAATTATCTCACACATGCTCACACATACATTTCTATAATATACATATCAATATTATATATATAAATATAGAGAGAGAGAGAGAGAGAGAGAGAGAGAGAGAGAGATTCTACACTATACCCTTATAGCCTTCATGGTTTTTGTGTCCTCCAAAGTCCAATCGGATTCCTTTCCTTTTTACTAAACTCTTTTACTGAGAAACCAAACACATATTTGGGAATGTCAGAAGACTTTTTCTGTATCTCTCATTTATATTTATTAGCCCTAGCTATCCACTGTTTGATCATTTTCACTATATATATATATAACCTCTACCTATCTCTTCACCGAACATCTCATAATTTGCCCATTTATATCACTTCATAAGACAATTTTTTTCCTCAAAATTTCTCAATGTTGTCTTTTCTTCTTGTTCATCAACAACAACGTGCTCATACTCATTTGAGGTTTACGTTGAAAGCTTGTCATGGCCGGAGCCAAACTTGTTCTAATTCTGCTCATCACAATGCAGTCTATTTAGGAGAGAAATATAGCGCTTGGGCAACTTTCTCACGAATGGATTGCGAAGAAAAACTTTAATTTTAGAGGGTGCTATCCTAACTGAGCTTATGTGTGTTTTGTTTTTAATTTTTTTTATATTTTTATGTAATTTATTTTTTCTTGATCTTGCAAGACTTTTTAAATTTTATATTTAAGTTTTGATGACTTTATTTTTTATTTTTATTTGTGTTTCTTATTTTCATTTTAGTCAATACTTCCATCTTTTTTATCTTTATCTATTCCTCCTGAGCTTTTTTTTAAGATTAATAATCTTAAAAGGAAAGACCTTTTTTTTTTTTTAGCTTTTTTGCTTGTAAATTTATTAGAAGAAATTAAGTAGCTAATTTTCTCTTTATTTTTGTCTTTTTGGATGAAAATTAATGTAATTGTTCTCGCTTATAATCAGAAAAATCGAATGACCACAGGAACCTTTCTTCATATCAATTCTCATTGTAATAGAACCTTTTTTTTTTTTTTTTTTTTTTTTTTTTTTTTTTCCCGGTTTGACTGCAGTAAAAAGAGCCGTGGGATATTTCTGTTGTATTGTTTCTGCTGTAATTTTGGCCGTCACATAGTGATATAGAAGTGCTGGGAATTAACCAGCGTATAAGAATAAATAACCCAAATGAAAATATATTTGCATGAAAAGTACCCATGTACTTATAAGTGCAAAACATTCTTAAATTATTTCGATTTTCCATGGATCAGCAATTAAGCTCTTTGAAGCTCCACAGGCAGGTCAATACAAGGCCTTTATTTGTTTATTATATAATATGTATATATATGTATGTGTGTGTATATGAATATATATATATATATACACATGACATTTTCAAAGGCTACTATGAGGAAGATCAGAATTAGAAGGAAACTTGGAAATCCTGAAGATCTGCCTTTGTTGGAAAGCTGAACCAGTGATACGTTGAAAATACATTTTCTTTGAAGAAATTAACCCAGTACTGCATTAAGAAAGAGTGATAACTTTAAGATCGTAACGAAAAAATTAGACTAATGACACGAAAGTTTGTAAAAGGTGGCATTAACTACATGTAGCCTGCTGTTGACATAAGTACTTTATTTATTTATTTATTCTTTTGTGGGAAAGAATTTTATTAAATCTTTGAGCTTTTATGATCCTTAACTCTCGTTCATTTCATTAATTTGAGTTTGTAATTTTAAATTTTTATAGTTAAAATTTTTAAAAAATATCACATTTAATTTTTTTTTCTACAGTTAAAAATTTTTAAAAAATATCACATCTCAACTCAAATTAAAAACTTAAATTCGCGAAGTGAATGATGTCTTAATTATTACATTTTTGCTCAATGGTCAAGATCTTTAATCTGTAATCCAAAGTGTATTTTTCTTTTAATAGTAACAAGCTAGCATATTAGTTTAACTGGATTAATAAATATTTGCTTTTGGTTATACATATAGGCTACTACACTTGAAACTCCAAATAAGCAAAACCGCTTAATCGCAGTCATATATTTACAAACACGTAACACTTTTTTCAAGATAAAATCATTTTAGTATTTGTGTTATAGCAAAACATGTTTTTAATACATGTCTTCTTAATAATATTAAAGTGGTATTTTGATGTTTTTAAAAACATCTTTTTGACACTTTAAAATTGATTTTTGAGATGTAAAATAATTTTAGTACATTTTTATTTAATTAATTAAAAGTTAATAGATATAGGAAAAAATCATTAACTTTTTTATTTTCTTATCTTTTTAAATATTTTAATGTTTTAAAATATTTTTAGATTTTTTTTAAAAAGATTAATTTTTATTTAATCGATAAAAATGGTAGTTTAGACATTACATATCTTAAAAATTAGCTTCAAGATATCTAAAAGATATTTTTAAAAACATAAATATACTATTTTAATATTATAAAGAACACAATATATTAAAATCATGTTTCGCTATAATACATAGTATTAAAATAATTTTATTCACTTTTTTTCTTTTTGAGTCGTAAGATATAATGAAATGGTGATTATTATTTTTATTAATTAAATTTGAGAAGAGGGTTTGGCCTTCGACGTGTTTTCTAATACGAAAAAAAGAGTCATTACATTCAGCACGAGTCAGTAAATCCCGATGCTAGTTATTATCTCTTAATTATTTTTATTTATTTATTTTTTAAATGGCGGCGATTTAGTAGTATAAGATCCATTTTGTTCCAGACGTGAAATAATTAACGAACTAAATTTAGGGCCTGTTTAGGATAGTAGAAGAATATAAGTATAAGCTAAAGCTTTCTAATTAGTATTTAGATAGTGCTTAAAAAATACTTTTATAATTAAGAAGAGTTTTCAAATTTATTTAGATAAAAAAGTTGAAAGCACTTCTCTTATAAAAAGTAATGTAATGAAAGAATATGAATGTGATATTTAATTTGTTCACAAATAAAATATTAAAAATATAAATAAAAAAACTTTTTATAAGCACTTTTTTCATAAGAACTAAGGAGATGATTTTTTTTTTTAAATTGTTTAAAAATTGGCCATCCAAATAGGTTCAAAAACAGCTTTTAAACTAAATAAGTGAAAAACAGTTTTTTTTAAGCCAATCCAAACAGCCCTTAGTCCTATGGGATTTTATTTTTATTTTTATTTTTTTGCTAAATAGTTAAGGATTAGTCCTATGGGATTTAGTACAATAGAAATGGACATTAGATTATTAAACAAGTAATATGTCTCTTTAGTTCTCACTCTATCCCCATATCCTGAGATCCATCCAAATGAGTAGATTTAGGTTGAATTTGTTATGAGGGTTTAAATTAGGGTGATTTTAATTTTAGAACTAGAATCATGATTTATGGTTTGAACTTAGGGTTTAACCATAGTTTTGGAATCAGAATCAGAACCAGAGATTTGAACCATCTAAAATTAAAAGGGGAGATGATTTTATTTTTTGGATAGTTCTGATTTAAAATATCACATCAAGATTCAAAGTTTAAATCAGAATCATCTAAACCAATCACTAATTTTAAAAATTATTTTTTATTTTTTACAAATAAATAAAGATTTGAACTAGAATTATAGTTCTGATTCTAGAACTTTCATACCAAACGCAAATGTTTCATCATACCATGAGCCAGCAACTATTTTCTTCACCTACAAAAATGATCCTTTTCTGTTTTTTCGTTTTTTTTTTGTTTTTTTTGTTTTTTTTTGGGTTGAATAGAAAAGGCAATATAAAACCACTTACAAATATTTTAAGAGTAGACCACTTCACCATTCATTGCTGCTAACTGAACTTTTAGCGTTGCTGTTTTGATATCAGCGTTGACTTTCATTAGTCACTGCATTAGTATACTGACGCTTAAAATAATAAAATATACAATGAAAAGGTTCAATGCAGAAAACAAATATATAGCTGTTGTTTGGAGTTTTGGGCATATAGGTAACATATATACCTTAATCGGTATTTTTATAATATTGAATAACTAATATTTTTAAAATTAAAGCGTCAATAATAAGTATTTTATGTAATTACTTTTTTAGTAAAGAAGGGTACATCAATCATATTCTTTTTTTTTTTTTTCTTTTTTTTCTTTTTTTTTTTAAATTTGAACTGCAAACATAAAACTTATAAAAAGAAATATACAAGAAGGAAGAAATGAAGCTCAAATCTGAGCTGATTTTTCCACAAAATAACAGGAACCAGTTTACAATTAATAACTTAACAAAAAAAAAAAGGCAGTCCCAAGGAGCTTGTAACGGAAAGTCACTAGTTCGTTCAATTTATTCTAAAGTCCACCAGTTTTTGATAATTGTACGTAATATTTACACACAAAATAGTCCTTACTACTTCAAAAAAAAAAAAAAAGGGTCCTTATTACTAGAAAAATGCTTTGATCTTAAATGATCAAATAATCACTGATGTATATGAGGAAAATACATCAAAGAATTCTTCATTATAGGAACAAACAATGAGATGCTTAATTGCGGCGAAAATGAACTGCTTAGCATCCGCTACCAGTTGCTGCGTACTGATTAAGAGCAGAGAACCACGATCTTCTGCCCTCATTGTGAGAAGTGGACCGTCTAAAACCCGATCTTGAACACCTAGCCAAGTGGTTTCGCAAGTTCCTATCGATATTGCAAGGAATTAACGAAGGACTGACGTCTGGAGCTCCCATGCAAAGGCTTGAATTGATTTTCATTGATTGGAACCTTTGACAGCTAAGGGATCGGAAAGAGGATCCCGGAGGGGAGGTTCTCGAGCAACAAAAGTCTGGTTTGCAAAATGGCGTTGTTAGTGAGGTCGACTCTATTGGTGCCTCACCGGAACAAGTGCACAATGTTAGGGACAGACTTGTTCTTGCAATCTCCTTCACCGCTGGTTTTGTGCCCGCAAGCATGGCAAATGAGACTATGCCATTCCGACAAAGAGGGCACGCAATCGAGCCCGGTGGACCATGAGAAAGAGTCGATGTACAATTCGTAGAACAAAGGTACAAGGCACACCGTATGCAGAACTCATGATCACAACCTGCAGCATGAGATGTGTTATTGTTCTTGTGTCGAAAAGAAGTATTCATTTCGAAGGGAATAAATGCATAATAAGAAAACAATTTCATTAATAACAACACACATCTAACTTAGGATCTTTGATTTTCCAAAATTGATTTAATTATGCACATGAAATAAGAAAACAGGGCATTAGTAATTTAAATGGCCCATGCTTACACGTCACTGGCTATTTAAAAAAGAGAGAAAGAGGAAAATAGGCCAAGACTTGAAATGAATTAAAATTAATAGGCCAATAGTTTACATAAGTTAATAAATAGGCCAAATTACTGTTTCTGTCCATAACTTGACAAGTTATTGTCCATAATTCACGGTTTTTGTCCATAACTTGTCTGGCTATGAACCATAACTTGATAAGTTTATCCATAACTTCTCTGGTTATGAACCATAACTTAACAAGTTATGACCTATTAATTTCTATAACTAAAAATTGGCCTATATACTTTCTTAAGCTTTTCATATTGGCCTATTTTCTACTATTTCCGTTTAAAAAAGTCCCTTTTTTTCTCTAGAATATAAAAAGTAATTATAGGTGCTTGAGTGAGGTGGTTTTCTATGTCGTTACTATAAATGTATACTATCAACTTCCACAATTTTGAGGCCTAAAAGATTAAGGTTGGTATATTACGGTATGAATTATAAGAAAATTGTATTTCTCATGTAAAACTACTGGCACAGTAATATTTACCTTCTGCAGCCACTGTGCACCGTCTTTCTAAGCAAACAACACATGGATCGTGGCATCTAGGCAATGAATCAAAATTTCTCCATCCGCATTCTCTGCAAACAGCGACAAAGTAAAAGGAGAGTGTTTAATTTATGAGAGAAAAAATATCTACCACAGACTGTTCGTAAAAGCAATGAACTAGTAATACAACACCAATGATAATGACAAAAAAAAAAGAGTAAAATTTTCGTTAGATAACAACAGGCGATTTCTGAAATGATTGGGCTGAAAAACATTTTTTAACATCACAAAGATAGTATACACAACATAAGCCCTCTCTGTTAAACTTGTCAAGGTTGAAAAAAATCCAGAACAAAAGAAACAGGATATATCTATCTTTGTACATATTTCATAGGTAAGCATTTGGTTCAGTAGGTTTATTGATTCCCATAATTCATAATGAAAAGTAAATAATGCTTATAGTTATGTGACGCTATTGGTTGAACCAGCCCGCTTAAATTTAATCGAAATTATCTTATATTCATTGATAAGAGTAACTCCCCTTAACATGCTTAAGAAAAGTAAAAATTCGTTATAAGATGATTTTATGGGTGATACATCCAACAGGTGCCATTTTTCATGACTTTCCACCTTTTTACATCGTTTTTCTATCTATCCGCTTTTGAGGGATTAAACAGAAAACTGTAACCGTCAAGATTAATAAAATGCTCGGCCAATAGAACGGTTCAACTTCACTCACCTAGCAATTTTGACAATGCTCATAAGAGGAATAGATAGGTAAGGCGAAAGAAAAATATGAGGTCGGCCTTCTGGCGGTGTGCTTAGGATCTCCTCGAGCCAATTTCTATGCCATGAACGAGCAACCATCAAGGGAGTCCATCTTCAAGGAAACAAAAGAGAAATGTGGGTAACTAGATGGCTAGATATAGATCAAGGTGAAATATATACATAATCATTTGATGCTTAACCAAGTAAAACTTCCGGTTTTTAATAAAAGAAATAATTAGCATTAGTTTAGAAAAGGTTTTAATCCATCTTGTTGTTACTAATGGAAATAATAGAAATTTTTAATAATAAAAGAAAGAAACATTTTCTAGCATTTTTAAACTTAAGATTCAGACATATTCAGAGGCAAACATTAGAAACTGATGCATAGACCCTTTACAAACAACATAAATACGGGAACCATAAAACAATGGTGGAACAACACATGACAGCTTCTGTAATTTTCTAGAAAATCAGCTTAGCCGAGTCATTTTGACCTTCTTATTTGCACTTGTAATCTGGTTAGCTGGGGCAAAATATGGCCCTTACATGTATTGTTTTTGTAGAATTGATGAAATTACTCAAAGTAGGCCTAATACTGAGAAAAAACACCAGTATAGCACAAGACTGAAGAAACTACTCAAAACTTGAGGTCAACATGATCAGAACATATGAACAAGCAACAAAGGTTGTGATACCTTTAACTCTGTTAATCTGGAAAGCTTAAGTTGACAGGAAATAAGCCTAACAATATACATCATCAAGCAAGGGAGTGAGAATGAGAACTAAAGACAAGGGAATTCTGAAATCTCAATATTCATTCATCAACCAAATTTGAGTTGGAAATACAATTACTAGTCCTATTTACAGAGACATAAAACATAATAATAATAAGAAAAACTCACCAAATCTTAAGTAATCTTAATGTATAAACAAAATCGTAAGTTCCTTATTATCTATATCTTGTTTTGCATCTGATTTCTTTCAACTAATATAACTTGGACATACCCGTTTGCATTTTCAACAGTCAGACTGGCACCCCTGGCTATCAAAATCTGCACAACAATGTAAAAATACAGAAAAAATGCAAGTGAATTTTTAAAGCGCAAAATTCTGAACAATAGCTATTAAAAAAAGAAGAAGAAGACATACTTGACAAGATTGTGCATTTCCACCACATGCAGCATAATGGAGGGCTGTGCTTCCAGCACCTACAGAGTGAAAACGGGAGTCAACTTTTATGAGAATCGAGATGTAAAGAAAAACTTGTTCCAGATTAGCACAACATCATGAGATAGCGTTTTCATGTCTGTCTCCCTCCCCGGTTATTATTATCATTTTTTGTGAAAGAAAGAGCTAAACATTGGATTTGGAACTTGAGATTTTTAAAGATCTGCAACTCTTGGTTCTGCTATATAAACAGTTTAAATGCAGAAAAGAAAACAAACAGGAAAGAGGAACACATCCACAAAATTCATCCAAAACCGCATGGTTAAGTTAGAACTTCCTTTTCCAAGATTCAAAGAAGCCAGAAAACACCTAATCTCTAGAAAATTCAATGTTGGAATTAAAAAAGCTAGCATCAAGAAACACCAAAAAGATTCGAGGGGAAGAATTTATGTTCAACAAAAATGTATCAAGATCAAAACCAAGAGATCCTAATACTTCTCTACCCATTTATGCTCACTTTATGTATTAAAAGTAATCTAACTGTTCAAACAATTATGGGCAAAAGCATAGCTCCTAGTTAATCATAAGTCATCCACAAGTAAGAAGATAAAGTTACCAATGAGGTCAATCGTAGTTCCATCTTCCACAGTTATCTCAGAAACGGAAGCCCCCAAATCCAGAAGCAACTGTACACTTTCAACATGGCCATTCAACGCAGCCATATGCAGAGCAGTTACTCCTCCATCGGAGGGCCTATTAACTACCTCAACCAAAGCACTGGTGTGCACAAAATGGAACAAGAAATTAAGA